AAATAAGGGACAGCACTGAGGGCTGAGGGCTGTGTCGAGTGGAAGAGCATTTGCCTGGCCAGTGCAAGGTCCTGAGTTCAAACCCCAGTACTGACCCAAAAAAGAAAAAAAAAAGGAGAAATTAGAATATAGTGAACCTTGATGTTAAAAAACAAAAATAACTTCCTGTTTGCTGAGCACGGTGGCTCCCGCCTGCCATCCTGGCTACTCAGGAGGCTGAGCTCTGAGGATCACAGTGCGAAGCCATCCCTAAGCGGAAAAGTCTGTGAGACTTTCATGAACCACCCAAAAACTGGAAGTGGAGCTGTGGCTCAGATGGTAGAGCACCAGCCTTGAGCAAAAAGAGTTCAGGGACAACACTCGAGCCCTGAGTTCCAGCCTGAGGACTAGCACACACACACACACAGACACACAGACACACACACACACAGTCACACAGACACAGACACACACACACACACACACACAGACAGTCACACACACAGATACACACACACAGTCACACAGACACAGACACACACACACACACACAGAGACAGTCACACACACAGATACACACACACAGACACACACACAGACACACACACACAGAGACAGTCACACACACACAGAGACACACACACACACACAGAGACAGTCACACACACAGGTACACACACACAGACACACACAGACACAGTCACACACACACAGAGACACACACACAGACACACAGACACACAAGACACACACACAGACACACACACACAGACACACACAGACACCACAGTTCTATCTGTAAGATCTGCTCACTTTGGGTAATTACAGTCAATTGTGCTGAAAGTATTATTTATAAGTTGTGCAATCAGTACCGAGGCTCCTCAGAAATCGGTGCTGGCACAAAAGGCACAGAAGAAAATGGTTTATTGATGTCTTTTGGGGTAGCTACTTTTCCCACTTCACTGAGGAGATCGAGCCACAGATACGTTTATCCAAGGGAAGTGTTTAGCAGTGAAAAACCCCGGGGCCATTTATTCCACCAAAACTCAGGATTCGGTGGCGCGGAGAGGATTCGATTGTCTGACTAAAGACCGAGACGGCCTTGAAAACCACCATGATAATGGTAACAAAAAGTAAAATGATACAACAATGCTCATTTTAAAAAATGAAAAACATGTTTGAAAAGCAGAGGTGTGGTTAGAGCGGAAGAGCACCGGCCCTGAGCAAGAACGCCAAGCCAAATCACGGGAGGCCCTGAGTTCGAGTCCCACGATGGTGTAAAAAAAAAAAAAAAAACCAGAAAAAGAATTCTGGTATTAAAACCTTGAAGTCATCGGTGTGCGGGAACACCGGCTGCAGCGCCCCCTGGCGGCGGTGTGAAAGCAGCTGTGTGTGCATGCTGCGTGTGTGTGTGCATGCGTGTGTGTGTGTGTGTGTGTGTGTGTGTGTTGCCAAAGAACACTAGAGAAGGTAGAGACAGAGAAGAGCTGGGAGAGGAGGATCCGAGAGCCAGGGGTGCCCAGGGCGCTCTTGCATCTGCACCCCGAGGTCCCACACGCAAGCGCCTGCATTTGCCTTCGCATGGGGAAGGTCACCGTGGACACTTGCAGAACGTAAGGCATCTCTGTCAGTGTCGCCATCAGAGCCAAGACCCAGTTTGGGAGACACCGTTCCCTCCCCAGGGAGCGTCCGGGCATGAGTCCACTCAGCTACGTTGTCAAGGTCTTTCCTCGGGCCTAGAAGGTCCCCGGCCTAAGGAGAGATGGGCCGGGGTGTGTGGGGGTCTTCACCCATCTCCAGAGCTGTCTGTGGCCGGCTCCCCGCATTCCGAGTGTGCTGTCGGGGGTGGCATTCCAACCTCTCCCCAGGGTTCGCAGCTCCGCTTCAGAGGTTCCCACATGGGTGTGTATGTGTGTGTGTGTGTGTGTGTGTGTGTGTGTGTGTGCCAGTCATGGGACTTGAACTCAGGTCCTGGGTGCTGTTCCTGAGCTTTTTGGCTCAAGGCTGGTGCTCTACCACTTGAGCCACAGCTCCACTTGTGGCTTTTTGTTGGATCATTGAAGACAACGAGTCTCGTGGACGTTCCTGCCCCGGCTGGCTTTGAACCATGATCCTCGGGTCTCAGGCTCCTGAGTAGCTGGGATGGCAGGCGGGGAGCCACTGGGACTGGGCAGGGCGCCTTCTGTTTTCTAAGCTGAGAGTTGATATGCAATGAAGAAAGACGTGCACATGGCCTGTGCCGACGAGATTCCTAAGCTCGCGACTCAGGATCAGGAACCAAGCGCGTCTGCTTTCTCCTCGTGGGTCTCCATTGAGAGGCCGCCATGGGAAAAGAATGGAAAGACACCCAGAGAAATAAGACTGCCTCTCTCAGGGACGGCCAAGAAGGCTGAGCGGTCACCCATGGCCTCCAGGAGGCAGCCTCTGTTCTCGGGAGACGGAAAAGGCCTCTTGAGGTCCTGGTTTGATTCCTCAGCACCAAAAGGAATCAAACACAATAGCCGAGTCTGCGCACGAACTTGATCATCTCCTCAGCCTTCCAGATCCACGAACGGATTGGTACTTTTGCTGTTGTTTTGCTCTGTCGGTCCCGGGCCTTGAACTCGGGGCCTGGGGGCCGTCTGTGAGCTTTGGCTCTCCCGCGCTGGGCCACAGCGCCACCTGCAGGAATGGCTGATTCTTGACCTCCAATCGCAGAGGCCGACGTCTTAACCCAATGAAAACGGGATTTCACCTTAGCGAGACCACCTCAAGCTTTGAACTAAAGCGGACCGCAGAACGAAAGGGTTTGCTTTCCTCACATCCACACGCAACGGCTTTGCAGAGGGCTCGCTATGTGAGGGAACCTGGTTCTGGAAGTTTCCAGGAAGAAGGCTATACAAGATGACAAAAGAATAAGCAGAAGGCCCAGCACCGGTGGCTCACACCTGTCATCCCAGCTACTCAGGAGACGGGGATCTGAGGATCGCAGTTCAAAGCCAGCCAGAGCAGACATATCCTAGAGATTCAGCTCCAATCCACGAGCAAAACGCCAACAATGGAGCTGTGGCTCACGTGGTAGAGCGCCAGCCTGGATGAAAGCAGCCAAGTCGGATAGCTCAAGCCCTGGGAACAGAATGAGTACTCCCCCACCTGTCACCCAAACCACGTGGGAGACTGGGATGGGAGGATTGTGATTCGAGGCCAGCTTGAGTTTCTAGACAAGTCTATAAGCTGCCTTCTCAGTCCATAGCCGGGCACAGGGGCCACATCTGACATCCTGCACCGTCAAGCCCGGGCAGGAGAATCCGAGAGATCCATTTCAGTGGAGGGGGAAAGGGTCACTGTACAACAAGAGGAGGCCAGAAATGGGTGGACAGCAGTCTAGACTTGCACGGGGGCAGGAATTGAGATCCTGCCTTTAAAAACAGACGGACAGACAGACAGAGCTGGAGGCGTGGCTGGGGAGATCCTGCCCAGCACACGTAAGGCTAAAAAGAAAGAAGAAAAAGAGAGAGAGAGAGAGAAAATAAAAGACAAAGAAAAGGGCAAGAATTACAATGCCGAGCCGCCCTGTCTCCTGGGGGATTGTCTGTCCTGGCAAATAGTGTCACGATTGGTCACGACGGGTTTAATTCCCATGTGAGCCGAAATAAATAAACTAACTTAGAACTATTAAAACGTAGATTGCACTGGTGTGTTTCCATGAGTGAATAAGGGGTTCTCTGATAGCAATAATAAGAAAAAGAGACAGAGAAAAAAGAAGAGAGAGGGGCTGGGAAGGTGGCTCAGTGGTAGAGCGCTTGCCTTGCATGCCTGAGGCCCTGGGTTTGATTCCTCAGCACCACATAAGCAAAAAGAAAAAAGCTGGAAGTGGCGCTGTGGCTCAAGTGGTAGAGCGCTAGCCTTGAGCTGAAGAGCTGAGGGACAGCGCCCAGGCCCAGAGTTCAGGCCCCACGACCGGACCCAAAAAAAAAACAAAAAAATGAAGAGAGAAAGAAAGAGAGGAAGGAAGGAAGGAGGGAGGGAGGGAGGGAGGGTGGGAGGGAAGGAAGGGGGGAAGGAAGGAGGGAGGGGGGAAGGAGGGAGGGAGGGAGGGAAGGAAGGAGGGGAGGGAGGGTGGGAGGGAAGGAAGGGGGAAGGAGGGAGGGAGGGAAGGAAGGAAGGGAGGGAGGGAGGGAAGGAGGGAGGGAAGGAAGGAGGGGAGGGAGGGTGGGAGGGAAGGAAGGGGGAAGGAGGGAGGGAGGGAAGGAAGGAGGGGAGGGAGGGTGGGAGGGAGGTAGGGAGGAGGAGGAGGGGGAGGGAGGGAAGGAAGGAAGGGGCGGTCTGAGCTGCTCCTGGGGGGGGAAGGGGAGGGGGGAGGGGAGGGGGGAGGGGAGGGGGAGGGGAGGGAGGGAGGAGGGAGGAGGGGGAGGGAAGGAAGGAAGGGGCGGTCTGAGCTGCTCCTCGCGGGGGGGGGGGGGGGGGGGGAGGGGAGGGGGGAGGGGAGGGGAGAGGGGAGGGGGAGGGGAGGGGAGGGGGAGGGGGGCTGGGGGAGCGCGCGGGGGACGGGAGAACCCGGGCCTGGCACCGCTCCGAGCTCCTCCCTCCAGCTCCCCCTGGGGCCGGTTCCCACCCGGACCCGCTCCCCGCTCCTCGGGGTTGAGACCGAGGATGGGGTGGAGCCACACCGGGAAGCCGGGGGAGAGCCCCTCCAGTGAGCCCAGCCAGAGGGGTGCTGCGGCCAAGCGCCAGGGCCCGGGTTCAAGACCCGGGTTCAAGATCCTTAGTGAATTTTGTGATCACAAAACTGGAACAATCAAAATCCTCCTCCTCTTCCCCCTCCTCCTCCTCCTCCTCTTTCCTCTCCCCCTCCCCCTCCTCCTCTTCCTCTTCCCTCCTCCCCCTCTCCCCCCCTCCTTCACACTCATCCTCATTGTTGAAGCTGTATCTGCAGCACAGTGGCTTACACACACACACACACAAACACACGTGTGTGCCACTCCCGATCTGCTTGGCTTCTTGGTGGGCTCACTGTCTCCTCCTTCGCCTGTGTCTTTCAGCAGGAGAGAGGCTGGGACGGGGGCGATGCTGATGACCTCCGTGGGCACCCAGACTTCAGGTGAGCCAGACAGTGGCCAGCGCCCTTCCAGAAGGCCCCAGACCTTTCCTGAAACGATCGGGCCTGCTCTCCTCTCTCTCCACCCAAATGCCTTCAGCCCCAAGGCAAAGGGAAGTTCTCACGAGAGCCGTGGGGTGCTTAGATTTTTCTTTCTGCCATTTTTGGGCAGCTCTGTACAGGTAATGTGAAAGGAAAAAAAAGATAGAGCCAAGCACCCGTGGCTCACGCCTGTCATCCCAGCTACTCAGGAGGCTTGAGGTCTGAGGATCCTGGTTCAAAGCCAGCCTGGGCAGGAATGTCTGTGAGACTCTGATCTCCAGTGAACCACTCAAAAACCAGAAGTGGAGCTGTGGGTCAAGCAGTAGAGCACCAGCCTTGAGTGAAAAGGCTCAGGGAAGGCTGGGCAGGTGGCTCAGAGCGCTCGCCTAGCATGCATGAAGTCCTGGGTTCGATTCCTTCGCACCACAGACACAGAAAAAGCCAGAGGTGGTGCTGTGGCTCAGGTGGTAAAGCACTAGCCTTGAGGAAAAGAAGCTCAGAGACAGTGCCCAGGCCCTGAGTTGAAGATCCAGAACTGACCAAAAAAAAAATTATAGCTTTTGCTATAGATACTGTTTTCCCAGTACCATTTATCCACATGGTATTTATTTTGTATCTTTGACTCTTTTTTGTCTCTTTGGCCAAGTCCCCTATCTGCATGAGGGTTTGTGAAATTTCTATTTTTCTATTTTACACCAGTGCCATGCTGAAGTAATTTTTTTGTAATTTCTTTGTTTTTCCTTTTCTTGTTTTATGTTGGTCCTGGGTCTTGAACTCTTAAGCCTGGATGCTGCCCTTGAGCTTTTTCATTCAAGGCTGGTGCTTTACCACATGAGCCACAGCTCCACTTCCAACTTTTTGCTGGTTCATTGGAAATAAGAGTTCCATGGGTTTTCCTGCCTGGGGTGGTTTCAAACTGCGATCCTCCGATCTCAGCCTCCTGAGTGGCTGGGATGCCAGGCATGAGCCACTGGCCCACATTTCAACCAGGTAAACCTTCATGAGAAGACTTTATAATATGTCTTTAAAACAGGATCTGTCTAGACTTTACGCCGTGTCTTATCTTCTCAATGAACAAACACTGTGCACTTTGTATCATGCTTAACCATGGGGAAATATTAGTTTGGAGTTGAGTGTTGATCTCTTGTCGCTTTTTGCCACACTCTACACACACTAGTCACGGCGATGCATTATCTTTTTATAGGAAATAGCATCTCATCCAACTTTTCATTCAAGGTGAGCTTGAGACCCTGGGGAATTCTGAAGATGACCCCAACGAGAACAGAAAGAAGACTCGTGTCCAGAAAATCGTCTTGCTTGTCTTCTCTCTGGTGTTTATAATAACAGTGACAGTGGCCATACCTTTAATAGGTGAGTTGTAAAACAATGAGATTTGCCAAGCACCCGAGCAGTGGCTCACGCCGGTCATCCCAGCGTCTTGGGAGGCTGAGATCTGAGAATCGTGGTTCAAAGCCAGCCTGGCAGGGAAAGTCTGTGAGACTCTGATCTCCAATGAACTGCTCAGAACAATCCAGAGGTGGAGCTGTGGCCCAAGCAGTAGAGCCCCAGCCTTGAGTGTAAAAGCTCAGAGACAGCACCCAGGCCCTGAGTTCAAGCCCCGGGACAGACACCAAAAAATAAATATATAAATAAATACCTGATTTGATACAGACCGGGGAAAGGGGAAATGTTCGAGGTAGGGATCAATTGTTTTGTACTTTGTCATAAAAACAGGATGTTCCTTTTTAATAAATGTTAATATGAGAAGGATAACAGGGGAGACATTGGTCAAATGCTCAGAACTCATGAACTGGCATGCTGAATCTGCACCCCATCTGCACAGCGCCTTAAAAGATAACAATCCACGAATGAGTAAACAACGCCAGTGCTTAGGTTAGAACAGTCTGTAACACAATCAGCTAAAGATCTAACCAGAACCAAAACGAAAAACCCCGCACGTGAAGGCCGGGCACCGTGAGGCACACCTGTAACCCAACATCCTGCAGGCTGTGCAGCAGGAGAGTGTATTTGAGGCTGGCAAGAACACATAGCGACTTCCGGATCAGCATTTTGAGAAGAAGAAAAACGAAGTCACCCTTGAGAAGAATAGGCGCGTGACCATTGTCTATCTGGAACTAATTAGGTGCTGTCATGTTTCTTATTAACAGACATGCAGCCTGAGAAGTGGATTTCGTTACCGATGTGGGGACAGCCTTGAGGAGTCTAAAAGTCCTAGCTGTGTAGAGCGCACGCTCAGACACGGGTTCTGGAGGAGATCCATGGCTGTAGTAACTGGGATGTCATCTCCCTGAGCACCAGGCGGCTCACGCCTGTAATACCAGCCACTCAGGAGGCTGAGATCTGAGGATGAGGGTTTGAAGCCAGCTCAGGCAGGAAAAGTCTGAGACTCGCCAATGAACCACCAAAAAGCCAGAAGTAGAACTGTGGGTCAAGCGGTAGAGTGCCAACCTTGAGTGAAAAGGTTTAGGGACTGAGCTCAAGCCCCAGAACCAGCACTAAAAGAAAAGAAAAAAAAAAAAGACTCCCAAGGAACCGCAGTGCTGCGTGCGGTCTGTTACTAGAAGAAATATCATTATGAGGTTCAGGATTCTCTCTCCCTCTGTATCTGTCTCAGATAGATGATAGACATATGACAAATAACAGTAGATAGACAGGAGGACAGATGGAAGGCAGACAAATAGCAATAGATAAATAGGCAGAAAGATAATAGATGTGGAGGGAAACAGACAGATGAATGATAGACATCTACCTATCTATATGTTATAGATGATACGTTATCCATAAGCAATGCTCAGCACAGGGTGTGTACTGACAGCTATGTTGTGGAAGAGCATGGCCCCAGTGGGTAATTCTGTGCAGCTGACCTACGGAAAGGGGCCAGAATCACAGTGGTTTCTGTACAGCGCTGAGGGGAGAGACACAACATTGGCATGAGTGTCTGATAGGAAACGTTTTTCTTCCAACTTAATCATGAAGAAGAAGAGGAGGAGGAGGATTGAGAAGAAGGAAGAAAAAAAAAAGAAGACAATTATTTAGGAACTGTCCTTCCTTGGAAAAATAGAAATAAAAGGGTGTAGAGCCTGGGATCCTGGAGCGGGGAGGGATCTCGTTCAACAGAACGAATCGACCTTTCCAATCGGATCGAGAATATTCAGGACTTTCGGTCTTTGTTTCCGTCCTGTGTAGTGCTAAACCAGGAATCTCTCACAGCCTCTTTCCTATGCCCGGACAAGTGGGTCAGATACCTGGGAGAATGCTTCTTCTTCTCTGACAAAACAGCCAGCTGGGAAGAAAGCCAGAGGTTCTGTGTCTCCAAGGGAGCCACCCTCGCGGTCTTCGACAGCCCCTACACACTGGTAAGTCGTTTTCTTGGTGCCTGTGCTGGGGCTTGAACTCAGAGCCTGGGCGCTGTCCCTGAGCTTTGGTGCTCTAACACTTGAGCCACACCTCCACTTCTGGCTTCTGTTTTGTATGCTTTCTTGGAGATAGGGTCTCCCATAGTTTCCTGCCCAGGTTGCCTTCAAACCTAGATCAAACCAAATCTCATTTTCCTCAGTAGCTGGGATTACAGGTGTGAGCCACCAGCACCCGGCTCGTTTGACTTTTCAATTGAGTGGAGATACTTAGGAACAATACGGCTCTGAATGCATGGTGCTGTAATCCCAGCTACTCGGGAGGCTGGGATCTGAGAGGATCGTGATTCAGAAGCAGCCTTGGCAGGAACGTCTGTGGCTCAAATAGGAGAGCACTAGCCTTGAGCACAAAAGCTCAGGGACAGAGCCTAGGTTCTGAGTCCAAGCCCCAGGATGGGCACCAAAACAATAAAAAACAGAAAGAGGAGAAAAAAAACCCCAAAGAGGATTGCAGAATTAGCTGAGGTGATACGTCCCATCCGAGAACTCTCCTGGGAGCGCACGAACACTGAGAGCTTTCCAGGTCTGAGATTCAATGGAGTGCTTCCTGCGTGAATACTCCTGAAAGTGTGGCTATGAATCCATCATTCCAGAACTTCCTCCAGTCCCATTCAAGTTTTTCTCAGTACTGGATTGGCCTGAGGCGGGAGCCAGGATGCATGTGGCGCTGGGTGGACGGAACTCTACCCCCTTCCTGGTAAGTTGTGCTTTACCATTCCCACACCTGAGCCAGGTAAGATCACACCTCCCTCTACCCTGCCCTGTTCTTGGAATCTCTGTGACCAGTACCAAAATGGCCGCAGAGGGAGGATGATGGCGAAAATCATCATCAAATAACTTAATCCATCCTTCCTTCCTTCCTTCATTATGCTGGTCCTAGGTCTTGAACTCAGGGGCTGGGCCCTGTCCCTAAGCTTTTGTGTTCAAGGCTGGCGCTCTACCACTTGAGTCACAGCTCCGCTTCTAGCTTTTTGATGGTTCATTGGAGATAAGAGACACATGGATTTTCCTGCCTGGGCTGGCTTTGACCCACATTCCTAGATCTTAGCCTCCTGAGTAGCTGGGATTATAGGTGCTACCACTACTCAGCAATTTAATATGTTTAATCTCCCCAAGCGTGATGCTCGCTGGTCCTCGTACCATCTGATTTCCACAGTGCCAAGAGGGCATCGCATTCGTTCCTTACAGACAATACTGATGTGTAGGCATCTCGAATAACACAATAGTCTACATCACAGCTGAGCACCAGTGGCTCACCCTTGTCATCCTAACTACACAGAAAGCTTGATCTGACAATCACATTTTAAAGAGCCACCAGGGAAGACCAAGACTCTTCATCTCCAATTCACCAGCAAAAATGTCGGACTGAAGAGAAGAGGGGAGAAATACAGACAAGAATCCAATGTACAGCCTACAAAATTAAGACAAGGGAGGGGAGGGGAGAGGTAGAGGACTTGGATGAATAGCTTTCTTAAATAGCAGCTCCTCTATACAACTGCTTAAAGATAAGAATAAAAATTGGGCAGGGAAGGTGGCTCAGTGGTAGAACACTCGCCTAGCATGCATGAAGCCCTGGGTTCGATGCCTCAGCACCACATACACAGAAAAAGCCGCAAGTGGGGCCGTGGCTCAAGGGGTAGAGCGCTAGTCTTGAGCAAAAGAAGCTCAGGGACAGCGCCCAGGCCCTGAGTTCAAGCCTCAGGACTGGCAAAAGAAAAAAGAAAGTAAAAATAAGGAAATAGGAAAAAAGCTGGACCGGAGGCATGGTTGGAACAGTAGAGCATCAGCGTAGAACAGAAAAGGGCAAGCGGTCACCTATTTGAAATATCTGGCAGTGCACCTACACTTCCACCAGATACAGAATGTCGGGCGGGTTGTTGGTTCTGGTTTTGTTGTTTATGCAAGCTACATTTTAGAGCAACATCAAAGCCATGCAGATTCACTTGGCTTTCTATTTGTGTTGAGCTGCAAACACTACTGGGAGCCAACAAACCTTTCCCTCTCGCCCCTCCCCACCCACAGACACATCTAATAAGAGTCAGCGGATCTCCTGGCTCTCTTCTGTTGCAGGCTTAAGCTGACCAGGCTTGGAATATACGCATACCTGCACCGAACTGGAGTGGACCCTGCCATCATTTTACACCCCAAAAAATGGATTTGCAGCAAATCACTCTGGGCCCCTCCAAGGAGTAAACCCATCGCAACGGGGGGCGGGTGCAGCCTGCATCCTCTACAGCCTTGCTCCCCGTGTGAAAAATATATATTACATTAATATACGTTGGTAGGAAATACATGGGAATATAACATGAATGTTAACATGGAGGCAAGGGCATGACATTCATGCAGAAAGGTGTTCGCTGTTTCCCATCAATTCTTGGAATTCAAGATGGCTGTGTCATATACACATGCGTGTATCATACGCATTCTATATGGAATGTATGTAAGCACACAGCGTATGTGGGAGTGTGTGTGTACCATATATCATATGGAAATAAGAATACTGGGTCTTGTTCCCACAGCCATGGTGGTGCCTTGCTGGGTGGAGGTAGCTTTTCACCCAGCTCTGAGAAGCCCAGAGGTAAGACTGGCCATTCTTTGAATTGCAAATGTCCTGCTATTTAGCTCCAGGAAAGCTTTGCTTCTGAGAAGGCTCTTCCTTGATTTTCCTTAAATGGTCTGATCTGCTTGCCCGAGTATTTCCCTATTTAGTTTTCTTTGCTGGCCCTTGAGTATTTCCCCTCTATGGTCTGCTTTGGTTAAGGCTTCAGCTCCATGCCTAACACGTGGTTTTAGCTTCGTGCAAGTTATGTTGTGGGCTGCAGGTCTTTGAGACGAGTCTCCCTGCAGACGCTGGCTCTTCAGTAAAGACTCCCAGTTCGACCTCTGCAGGTGTAGCTTGTCTGTTTCTTGCAACTGAATTCCCATATAACAATATCATAGGTTGCACACACACATGCCGATACTGGGGTGTGAACTCAAGGTTCAAACCTGGGTGTTCTCCCTTAAATTTTTTTAGCTCAAGGCTGGTGCCTCACTACCCAAGCCATAGCTCCACTTCTGGCTTTTTGCTGGTTAACTTGAGATTGTAGTCTCACATCCTTTCCAGGCTGGCTTTGATCTTCAACCCTCAGCCCTCTGAGGAGTTAGGCTTTCAAGTGTGAACTACCTTGAATGACATAGAAAAACACAATGGCCATGGGCTGGGAAAGTTCCATTTGGAGTAGAAGCCCAGTTATATAGCTCTTTACGGGGAAGGAGGAATAAGTGGATTTGGGGCCAGGAGGGCTGGAAGGGGGTGTCTAGGGTCTTTTGGGTAACTGGGTAGGGAGAGCAGAATGCACTGGTTGGCATTACCAGTCAGAAGCCTGCTATACATACAAATAGCAGGTAGCAAAGGCAAGACTGGTAACCCTCTGTCCAGTTAGAAGGTAGACGAGTATGGACATTAGGTGGGCAAACATCTATTTCTCTCCATCTCCTGGTTCTGGTTACTTCTGCAAAGGTAAGAGGAAGTGACTGGCTTTGTCCTGGCCGGTGTCTCTGCGTCCATTGCTGGGATAGCTTGTCCCAGTTGGCATTTACAGTTTGGACTCGAGGCCTTGGCACTGTCCCTGAGCACTTCTGCTCAAGGTGAGTGATCTGCCACTTAGAGTCCCAATACCATGTGCAGCCTTCGGCTGGATACTTGAAGGTGAGTCTCCAGCCAGGCTCAATGCCGATTAGCTGGGAGATGGAGTTTTCGAGGGATTCTTTGTGGCTAGGATGGCTTTGAACTGTGGCAAAGGAGTCTGTTATGAAAGCCCTTTTTTATTTCCAATTAAAGCAACAAGGAGATAGAGTTTACCAATAACTTGTTAACAAGTGACTAACAATTACTTGCCAGCGTTTTTCATTCAACATGTAACTTTTAACAAATGTAAGGGCCTTTTCTTGAGCCTGTTAACAGATGAATTTATGTGGTTGGTACCAGCTCAAAAGGTACCAGCTCAAAAGCTGCTGCCAATTAAGACTTTGAGCAGATACAGGGGGTTGGGGATTTAAATTACATTTACATTTTACGACCTTAGCTTATACTGTTCACTATCACAGATGACTGGCAAGTTTTGCCCAGTAGACAGACATGAGCATTTGGCATGCTTACAAACTATCTTTCCATGACCTTCTGGCTCTGATCTGTTTTTTTTGGAGGGCCAAGCTCAAGTAACTCAGGATCCGACACCATTTTTGTCATCCAAACAGTTCCTTGTAATTGCCTCTGGATGGTTTAACATTGTTGGGGTTTTCCATGCTGGGATAACATTGTTTTCCATGCTGGGATAAAGGCACCTTTGGCATTTTCCTTGGCCAGTCGCTGGACTTGAACTCAGGGTTTGAGCGCTGGCCCTCAGCTCTCCAGCTCTGGGCTAGCACTTGGCCACTTTGAGCCCCAAAGCAACTCGGCTTTTGAGCACTCTGCTGGCAGATTAGAGATGACAATCTCACAGGGACTTTTCTCTGCCCTGGCTGGCTTCCAGCTGCAGTTCTCAGATCAGCGAGTTTTTACAAACTGAAAGCAGCAAAGATGATCATTGGAAGTAGTTCTATACACATGGTCTTTCCTGGAACTTACTAAGTAAGTTACAATTGGAAACGGTTAGAAAAAAAAGAAAGAACTAGAAGGGCAAACTGGAATGATCCTAATGTATCTTTTCTACTTTGAAATAAACCTGTAGGACTATTTCATTTTTCAAACTTTTTTTGGTCTCAGATTTTCCCAAAGGGGAAAGCCACTTTAATCCCTTTTTGTAACGTTACTATTTGCATTTAAATGCTCTAGGCTGAAGGTTTAAAATGCCCACTTTTTATCTACAGTCTTGAGTTACCTTTAGGAAATGAGCAGTTTTGCTTCATGTCCCAAGAATCCAGACTTAGCATCTTTTTTCTTCTTTTTTTAGAAATACATCCAGTTGTAAAACAGATCCTCTGCTCATACACCCCTGATGGTCTAACTTGTGGGGATTCGCCTTTGTTTTTATTATCCCGCGTCGGCAGGCTTTGGGTCAGGTGTGATGGAGCAAGGTCGGCAAGGGTGTGGCATCTAGCGTGTATGGACTGTCGCTCTCCCAATATCTCTCTGTATTGGTTAAAGACCGTCTTTGCAGGCTGATGCCACTGGTTAGGCAGTTAAGACAACTTAGTTCCCTCTTCGCATGGCTGGACACAGGAATGACGTGACCCACGGCCTACGTAGTTACCAATCTCATTGGCCTTGGGAAGGGAGCCATCTTTTCTAACTCCTCTCCCGAGGCCTTTTCCAAGTGCTGGTTTTTCCTTGGGCTTCGTAGTCAGGTCACATGGTTGAAAGCGATGGAGATGGAATCACAGCCTTCATGGAGAAAGGTTTTTCCTTTTCAGTAAGCGGAATACATGGTAACCTCACATGAAGCAGTCAGATCGCCCAGGTCCCCGGCTTCCACTCCCCCTTCCCTGGACGTCCGCGTGGTTCTCTGGCTGAGTCTGATGCCCTCTCGCGGTGGTGGCGCGTGGCCTGGAACTGGGTTCATCGCGGTGGATTTGCTCATCCTGGCTTCCCGGGCGCCAGGCTCTCCATCACCTCTGGGCTAGCTGCCCCCCTCACCCTGAGAGTTGGGACCCCAGGGGCCTGGACTTGTGCCAGACCCACACAGCCACATCCAGCTCACCGGCCCGGGGTGCGTGCTGGCCAACAGCGCTCTCTGCACCTAGCTCCTGGCCGTAAGAGCCCGCACCTCGTTGATCTGGACTACGGAGCCCAGTCTGATGATGACCTAGGAAGCCCATCCAAGAGGTTCCTTCCAACCCATGGTCGTTTGGGATTTATACACCCAGGACGCCCCCTTCCTGCAGCCTCTCTACCTCCTTCCCGTCAAAGCTCTTAGGATCCAAGCCCTCCTGCCCCCATCTACCCCCCCCCACTTGGCCTACACTGCCCACTCAGTCCTGCTCTGCTGTGAATCTCCCAACCACCAGCTCCTAACTTGCCTTGTCACGTATCCGCTCCACCTCGATCTCCGTCTCTGTCTCTCCAGACTGGAGATCATTTCCTACTGAATTGCCTCCCACCGACATCGCCCACCCCCAGATTCCCTCTTCTGTATTCTTCCTTCCTGTAGCCGGCTTGGAAAACGGTTGGTCAACTACAAACTCCTTCTTCTGCTAACTCCCGTCCCTGCCTCCCTGCCTGACTCTCCAGCCTCCTGCTCTGGCTAACACCTTCTTCCCTTCCACACCCCAAATCAACGGGCCCCTCCCCGTCTCCATCCTTAATCCATCACTGGCAGTGGCACCCTGGACCAGCTTCTCCAATGGCTTTTCCTTTCACTGCTCTCCTTTTCCCACCCCAAAATGTCTTTGGGACTCCGACCATAATTCAATTCTCTTTCCTGAGTCTACCCACTTTGGCATCTGAATTCTTCCTTTCTCCCTTGAGCCAAACTCCCCTAGGAGGCCACAAAATAACAATCCCTCCCTCCCACCCTGCCTAACGTGGTGAGCTCGCCTGCTCTTAAAAAACCCGCTCAGCAACCCCTCCCCCCAATCTCTGACGGGGAAACTGAGGCCTAGGAACAGATAAAAGACACCTGGTGGGTTTTCTATACCCTCCCCCACTCTTCCACCGGCTAACTCTTCTTCATTCGTGTAGGTGTTAAATGATTTCAACTCATATTCATATGCCTTGCTAACAGAATTCCTGCCTCCCCTCACAGGCTATGGAAACAGACAAACAGGTCTCAACTTATTGTCAATTTCTAATCCTAAGTAACCCTTTACAGCCATCCCGGTACCTCTCGCCCGGGAGGGAATGCTCCACCCAGTGCTCTGATTCTGCATTAACTTCTTGACGTTGCCAGTCTCTAAATACCTCCCCTTTAAGCCTGGGACGGCTCAGGCATCCGGAAGACACCATGCCCTGTGCCTCCACGTTCCTTCCTGTCCGGTGCCTGGTCTCCTGGCCTATTCTGGTCTGGTCGCCATGGTGACCCACTTCAGCTCTCCATTGGTGCTGGATTGGTTGGTTGGTGTTGGTGGTGTTGTTTCTATCCTTGCTGCTCTGTTTCCTAACTGAATTAAGTGTATCCACGGGCTCCAAGAGTCGGCCCTTCAAAATGTGGCTTCTTTTCCCCGCCTTATTATAAAAGTCCCACCCAAATCCCAATGCCGGGGGGGGGGGGGGGGGGGGCATCTGGGTTCCTTAAAGCTGCTGGAGGGGGGGGGCGGGGGGGGGGTGGCTGCCAGGGATGGAAACACCTACAGGGGAGGTGTGCCTCCTGGCACGTTCCAGGGCCCTGTGGTCTGACAGGCAGCTCGTTGGCACCAGACATGCCATCCAAACACCTTCCAAAAATCTATTTCATGCTGGAAGCATGGCTCAAGAGATTAACCAGCCCAAATGCTAAAAGTGGCCGTGTGACTCAAAGTAGTAGGGTGCTAGCCTCAAGCAGAAGTGCTTAGGGACAGTGCCCACACCTTGAGTTCAAAGTCCATGAATGCCAACGGGGATGACTTATCCCAGCAAGGAGCAAACCACAGGACGAGGCCAGGCCTGACAACCAGGAACTGTGGACAGGAGTAAGAGGAGATGATGTGTTTGCCCTTTCAAGATTAACCAGAGCTGGGAAGTCGATGGAAATGTTCACAAGCTTGTCCATCTAATGCCCATAGCTGTCTACCTTCCAATGGAACAGCCATTTACATTCTTGCCTAGTAACCTGCTATTTGTAGCTATAATGTCTTAGACCCAGGGCTGTTAGCCTTGGCAGCTCCCTGAGTTCCATGTCAAAGGGCTGGAGACGTTAGATCCACCTGGGAAGGACCCTGTCTGTACAGGTCCAAGGCTGCCTCACCACTAGATTCATCTTAGCA